GTTGAGTGGGACGCCTAGATAAACAGGAGCCATAATCTCTGTTGAGAGGGACGCCTAGATAAACAGGAGCTATAATCTCTGTTGAGTGGGATGTCTAGATCAACAGAAGCTATAATCTCTGTTGAGAGGGACGCCTGGATAAACAGGAGCTATAATCTCTGTTGAGTGGGACGTCTAGATCAACAGAAGCTATAATCCCTGTTGAGTGGGACGCCTAGATCAACAGAAGCCATAATCTCTGTTGAGAGGGACGCCCCTCAGAATTAATAGACATCTAAAATCCAATTAAGAAATTCCATTATGAATAATTTAGTAATTTAACCGCAGCTCTTGTGAACGAGAGAGACAGGCGACCTAACTACTGAACTACCATATTTAGGGTCATTAGCATAGAAGTGTCACCTAGAGGTAATGGTGGGAGAGGATTAACTACATATGTTATTCTCATCTGGTATACAACAAAATACCTGGATATGTATGAGTAAAGAGATTATACATATACAAGTACAGGTATACATAGTCTGTTTATATATGAATATGTATTTATCAACGGAAGCCTCAGTATGATCAGACGTGAACGGCTCTCACTCTAAGTCGGAACCTTGACTGAACAAATTACGAGTTATGGAAGTATCGATAAGTCGGAAGTTGCTTATGGCGTGTGGCCCAGGGATAGGTAAGGTCCCACTAGGTCCCAAAAGGTCCCACTAAGTCCCAGAAGGTCCCTGAAGATCCCAGTAAGTCCCAGAAGCTCCCAAAAGGTCACAATATGTCCCAGAAGGTCCCTGAAGATCCCAGTAATTCCCAGAAGCTCCCAAAAGGTCACAATATGTCCCAGAAGGTCCCAGAAGGTCCCAATAACTCCTAGATGGTCCCAGTAAATCCCAATTTGTCCTAGAAAGTCCCAGTGTATCCCAAAAGATCACACTAGGTCCCAGAAGGTCTTAAGTACGTCCCAGATGATCCCAGTAAGTCCCAGAAGGTTCCACTAGGTCCCAGAAGGTCCCATTAAGTCCCAGAAGGTCCCACTAAGTCCCAGAGTTTAAAGTACAGTCTCTCTCCTCATTCTCCTTAATTATGTGAGTTTTCAATTAAGTATTATAGGTCTTAGGTTAGGTTAGGTTAGGGTAGGCTAGGCTAGGCTAAGTCAGGCCAAGTCAAATTAGGTTAAGGTTGGGTAGGTTAAGTTGGTTTGGGTTAAGCTAGGTCAGGGCAGGGTAGGTCAAGAGGAGCGTGACTCAGGTGTTATAATAGTCTTCATTTAAACGTTTCCCGCGGCAGGTGAGTCACGGTGGAAGGGGTTGCCAGGTGTCACTTTAATAGTATCTTTACTGTGAGTGTTGTGCTGGTTGCTCTCTCTCTATCTCTCGGGTCAGTACTCCAGCTGCCGTATCAACCACCCAACTACGAGGGGAAAATCTGAGACCGTCTTATCTTCAAGGGCTGAGTGGACGACTGAAGATTAGCCCAGAAATAATAAGAGAATAAGAAAAATAATAAGGGAAATAATAAGAGAAATAATAAGAGAAATAATAAGAGAAATAAGAAGAGAAATATATTATAAGAGAAATAAGAAGAGAAATACTAAGAGAAATAATATAACAGATCTCATTTACGTCAACTTTAAAGAGAATAATATCTTTAAGGTAAATAGATTGCCGTAAATGTATTGACACATCCGCCCACATCAATATCCACACCAAACGCCCACATCAATATCCACACCAAACGCCCACATCAATATCCACACCAAACGCCTACATCAACGCTCACATCCACTGTAACTCCGCCCACACCACTGAGATCTGCCTATATCAACACCCACATCAACAACCCTCACCACCCACCGCTCACACACCCACCATAACTTGAGTCAGTTAACCGCCTTCAACCTTCAGAAGCCATATTCCATGTCCTGGAAAGTCCAACATAACGACAAGGTTTCGAAACTCCACGAGGCAGAAGAGACATTTCACCATGAAGTGCACTGGCAAACACCTACGACACTTCCTCCTGTGTGGGTGTGTGTGTGTGGGTGTGTGTGTGTGGGTGTGTGTGTAGGTGGTTGTTGGGGTGGTGTGTGTGGTGGTGGTGTGGTGGTGTGGTGTGTCTCGTGTGTGTGTGTGTGTGTGTGTGTGTGTGTGTGGGTGTGTGTGTGTGTGTGTGGGTGTGTGTAGGTGGTGTGTGTGTGTGTGTGGGGTGTGTGTAGGTGTGTGTGTGTGTGTGTGTGTGTGTGGGTGTGTGTGTGTAGGTGGTGTGTGTGAGGCTCAACTCTAACCTTATGTGATTTGTTTCTGGGAGTTGTTTTGCACACGAGGGAGGGGGAAGAGGGGAGAGGGAGAAGGGAAGGAAAGGGAGGATGGAAGGGTGGAGGGGAAGGGGAGGGGACGGCGGGAAGGGGAGGGGGAGAGATGGGGGAGGGGGGGACGGGGGGGAGGGGACGGGGGAATGGGAGGAGGGGGACGGGGGGAGGGGGGACGGGGGAGGGGGGACGGGGAAGGGGAGGGGGAGGGGACGGGGAGGGGGACGGGGAGGGGGACGGGGAGGGGGACGGGGGAGGGGGACGGGGGAAGGAGGGGATGGGGGACTGGGGTAGGGGGGAAGTGGGGAGGGGGACGGGGGAAGGGAGGAGGGGGGAGGGGGACGGGGGGAGGGAGGAGAAGGAAGGGAAGGAGAGGGAGGGGAGGATGTGGGGGGAGGGGGGAAACGAGTCAGTAAACCTTAAAACTGCTTCACAAAGTCTTAAAGCAGAGTCATTCATCTTCTTTATCCTCTTAATGTCTCTTAAAACACGAGGTGAGAGATGATAGTGAGAGATAAATTGTCTCTCAGTATCTCTCATCACACAGGTGAGAGATGGTAGTAGTAATTAACATATCTGTGTTTCCTTCCCCAGACCAACTTCCTGTTCCTGCTCAACATACTAAGAGTTCTCATCACCAAGCTACAGGCCAGTGTGTCCTCTGAGACCCAACAGGCCAAGTGAGTAGACACACACACACACACACACACACACACACACATACATACATACATACATACATACATACATACATACATACATACATACATACATACATACATACATATACATACATACATATACATACATACATACATACATACATACATACATACATACATACATACATACATACATACATACATACATATACATACACACATACATACATACATACATACATACATACATACATACATACACATACATACATACATACATACATACATACATACATACATACATACATACATACATACAGTAGTATTATCACTATTATTATTATTACCAGATGTTAGATGAAATAATGATATATAAAATATTCTAAAACGTATATAAAGTTTACTATAATATATTGACTCGTTAATAGGCAGTTGCTTGAGTGAGTCACCCCTTAACACGCACCAGTCATGACTCATCTCGCTTACTGTGAGTTATTGTCCATGAGTCACCACCAAAGGTCACTGATCTGGTGAGGAGTCAGTGTTGTAGTGTGTTGTGAGTCAGTGTTGTAGTGTTGTGAGTCGGTGTTGTAGTGTGTTGTGAGTCAGTGTTGTGAGTCGGTGTTGCAGTGTGTTGTGAGTCAGTGTTGTGAGTCGGTGTTGTAGTGTGTTGTGAGTCCGTGTTGTAGTGTTGTGAGTCAGAGTAAGAGTGTTATAGATGATTGTTGTGTTATAGGTTGTAATAGCAGAATTATAGTACCAAACACAACAACCACACCCTGAGTGATGAAGGGATGACCAGTGTTTAAGGTGTAGAGCTGTCGCCAACAACAACCACACCCTGAGTTAACGAGCTGCATGACCCAGTGTTTAAGGTGTAGAGGCTGTCGCCAACACAACAACCACACCCCTGAGTTAACGAGCTGCATGACCCAGTGTTTAAGGTGTAGAGGCTGTCGCCAACACTGTCGCCAACACAACAACCACACCCTGAGTTAACGAGCTGCATGACCCAGTGTTTAAGGTGTAGAAGCTGTCGCCAACACAACAACCACACCCTGAGTTAACGAGCTGCATGACCCAGTGTTTAAGGTGTAGAAGCTGTCGCCAACACAACAACCACACCCTGAGTTAACGAGCTGCATGACCCAGTGTTTAAGGTGTAGAGGCTGTCGCCAACACAACAACCACACCCTGAGTTAACGAGCTGCATGACCCAGTGTTTTAGGTGTAGAGGCTGTCGCCAACACAACAACCACACCCTGAGTTAACGCGCTGCATGACCCAGTGTTTAAGGTGTAGAAGCTGTCGCCAACACCACAACCACACCCTGAGTTAACGAGCTGCATGACCCAGTGTTTAAGGTGTAGAAGCTGTCGCAAACACAACAACCACACCCTGAGTTAACGAGCTGCATTACCCAGTGTTTAAGGTGTAGAAGATGTCGCCAACACAACAACCACACCTTGAGTTATCGAGTTGCATGACCCAGTGTTTAAGGTGTAGAAGCTGTCGCCAACACAACAACCACACCCTGAGTTATCGAGTTGCATGACCCAGTGTTTAAGGTGTAGAAGCTGTCGCCAACACAACAACCACACCCTGAGTTAACGAGCTGCATGACCCAGTGTTTTAAGGTGTAGAAGCTGTCCTGCAACAACCCACACCCTGGAGTTATCGAGTTACTGACCCAGTGTTTAAGGTGTAAAGCTGTCACCAACAAAACAACACACAGCCCAGAGTTAACTTGAGCTGCATGAGCCCAGTGTTTAAGGTGTAAAAGCTGTCGCCAACACAACAGCCACACCCTGAGTTAACGAGCTGCATGACCCGGTGTTTAAGGTGTAGAAGCTGTCGCCAACACAACAACCACACCCTGAGTTAACGAGCTGCATGACCCAGTGTTTAAGGTGTAGAAGCTGTCACCAACAAAACAACCACACCCTGAGTTAACGAGCTGCATGACCTAGTGTTTAAGGTGTAGAAGCTGTCGCCAACACCACATCCACACCCTGATTTAATGAGCTGCATGACCCAGTGTTTAAGGTGTAGAAGCTGTAGCCAACAGAACAACCACACCCTGAGTTAACGAGCTGCATGACCCAGTGTTTAAGATGTAGAAGCTGTCGCCAACACAACCACACCCTGAGTTAACGAGCTGCATGACCCAGTGTTTAAGGTGTAGAAGCTGTCGCCAACACAACCACACCCTGAGTTATCGAGTTGCATGACCCAGTGTTTAAGGTGTAGAAGATGTCGCCAACACAACAACCACACCCTGATTTAATGAGCTGCATGACCCAGTGTCAAGGAATAGTCCGAGAAGACCAGACAACTCGCCAACTGCACTGGCTGACCATTACCCCGGAACACCATCCACAAATCGATTAACATCCAGGTCCCCAATTACTGCTGGGTAGACAGAGGCAAATGGCGTAAAGAAACTTGCCCATAGTTTCATCCTGCCCGGGGATCGAAATTCATATGCAAATAACTTTTTAGCTAATCGTGAAAATAAAACTTTACGAAACTATTGCACAAAAATATATACAGGGACGTCAATTCCATTCAAAATATACATTTCATTTAAATTAAACTGAAAAAATTACATACATACAGTTACGAGGAGGTATAGTGCCACACCCCCCCCCGATGACCTACAGTTACGAGGCGGTATAGTGTCACCCCCAGATATGTGGCACCGTCGGAATCACTTTATGAATGAATCAGTTCTGTGAGGAGGAGCGACACGGATTCATTCATAAAGTGGCGCCTGGTGAACAAAAATTACACGGTACTAAAATTTATACAAGACCTTAAACTGCACTTAAAATAGACATCCAAAACACTAATTACAGGTACTGGAGTGAGAAGAAACTCCGCCAGGTAACTGCTAAAGCTGCAACAACATCTTGAATATTACCAAAAATAGTCAAAATACTCACTGTTTCTGTTGATGCTGATGCCATCCTTAGGTCACGATCACTTAAGTCAGGTCAATAATTATCACTTAAGTTAGGTCAATAATTATCACTTAAGTTAGGTCACTTATTATGACTTAAGTTTGGTCATTTATTATCACTTATGTAGCACCATTAACTTTCTCACCTTTCCACACCTTTGGTTTTAGATGTTTGTAGCGCCATTATTGGGAGACAGTCAGGCGCCGACGACACAGTACTGGTGGCAGACTGTCAACACGGAACATATTCGTTGTCTTGTTAAATATTTCAACTTTTGGCTATTTTATCTCACTATTATCTTACACGTTTGTAGCGCCATTATTTCTTCAACGTTTTCTTATACAGTAGATGTAGGAATCAGTTCTCTGTAGTTGGTTATGTAGCAGAGAGTCAAGGAGACACCGACACAGCGATGGTTGGTGACAAATGGTGAACTGTCAACATGGTGTGTGTAGAGTAATGGAACATTCGTAGTCACGCTAAATTATTTCAACTTTTTACTTATCTTATCACCTCAAGTGTTTGTTCCATTGTAGTGTGTGAAGAAATAATATTACTATAATAAATCTAAATAAATAAGTAGAAAATATTTATCCAGTAACATATATCTTAGTAGTAATAAATATCAGTACAAATTGAATGTCATAATTCAATACATAAATTTATACATATAATATTACGATTAATACTAAAACTAATATATATTAATATTATACCAACCATAGGAAACTTTTGTTGTTTTAATGACGTACTGTAATATAAGAGGGAGGAGGTGTGTAAAGTTACTTGGCAACTAAGAGTAAATAAAGCCAGACTGGTGTTATTTTTATTATTTTTATTTAGAGTTAAGTGATGTGAAGAAAAAGTAACTACAAACACTTAAGTGATCATATAGAGTTTTGTTAACAAGTTTCATCAAAATCGGTAAAGCGGTTAATGATTCCCTTACTGTGTGTTGAGGGATAAGACAAACGCTGGTAATTCATGTCACGCAAAAGGCCAATGTAGTTATTATTTAATTATATTTATTGATTCATAAATGGTATGTAATATAATGTAAAAGTACCAACTATATGTTATTGTACTTTAATATTAAAAGTACTGCATCAGTCTTGTGGTGGTAGTGAATAGGGTGTTGTCAAGGCGAGGGTGTGTGTGTGTGTGGTGACGGGAGGCTAGTTGCTAGTTCACATGCTAGTTAGGTGCATCAATCAATCAATAAGAACCTAAAGTAAACACAGAAAAGTAAGACATCAACGATACTCAAATATTTCTAAGTAAAATAACACCGCGTTACTCTGACCTGACAGTAAATAATCATTGTGACAAACTCGTAACCCTTTGGCTGCCATGTTCGTAACGCTTATTAAATCTGGTAACTGAAATGTCTTATACATATTATATCATAGTTAAGGAATATTATTGAACACATATTACCCAACTACCACAGCCCGAGGAGAGAGAAAGGTAGGGAGATGCTGATGAGTTGTCAAGGCTTACCCTACGATTACTTACATGTTGAAGCAAGAAGCAGAGGTCACCAAACACAGTTACCTTAAAAAAATGATAATAAATAAATAAATAAATTATATGAGGCTATGTAGTAAAGTTCATGGGTGTTTTGCTGAATAATAAATAATAATGAATGACATCTGTACGGTGCCTTGCTGAGCGTTAACCTGCACCTGTACGAACCAACGATTACTGATTAACCTGTAAATGCCTAACCGAACAGGTAATGCTTACAACAGGTGGAACATTTACACATTAATGTTATTTTATGATATGTAATTTACCAACTTACTAATGTTTTGATTGTAAATTACTTAATGATTTGATGTTTAGGTCAATAGAACCAATTAAATATGTTATTTATTGGGACCATGAACATTACCCTGTCATAAATGGACCACCTCATTACCACCTGTGTTGTTAATACACACTTTCACCATATCACCAACACCATCGCCACCAAAACACCAGCCACTATTACCATCACCATCACCATCTAACACCACCATCACCATCACCACCAACACCACCCCCATCGCCACCACCATCACCACCACCACCACCATCACCACCACCACCACCACCACCAAACTCACCACCACCACCATCACCACCATCACCACGACCATCGCACACCACCACCAAACTCACCACTACCACCATTTCCACCACCATACAGGAAGGCAGTACGGGCAGCCATCGTCTTACTGCCCCTCTTAGGCATCACCAACAGCCTCCAGATGGTTCACTCACCACTAGAGGGGAACATAGTCGAGTTTGCCGCCTGGAGCTTCGTCACCACCTTCCTCACCGCCTTCCAGGGATTCTTCGTCGCTCTCTTATACTGCTTCCTTAACAATGAGGTAAGACATTTCATGGCTTATGGCTTCAGGGACAATTAAGACATTTTTTAAGTGTGTTTGTTTGTCTAAATGGATCCTTACCTGAATACTATGGGAGGTAATGAATTAATTTTTTTTATTTATAACTTTACCTGAAAAAAATTAAGTTGATATGTAATTAATATGATGTTGATTGTTATTATTATTACTGTAACTATTATCTGTATTAACACGAAAAGATAATTATTTACCCCAGAAATAAACTAATCACCTGCTAACATCACACTAATTAACACCTGTGTATATTATTTACCTCCTGTTGGCGTTATGACTCACCTGTGTGTATGTCTACCTGTCCGCCAGGTGAGAGGAACGATCACTAAGTGTGTGGCTAACCTCTACACTCAACGACTCCTGCCCAAGAGGTCTAAAAGAAGCTGCATTAATGGCAATATTGCAAGGTGAGCATACATACATACGTCTCTCTCTCTCTCTCTCTCTCTCTCTCTCTCTCTCTCTCTCTCTCTCTCTCTGCAGTGCTTGAACGAAATAAAAACTCGAACAATAGATTAAACTGACACAAGCAATAAACTGAGGGAGGGAGGGAGGGAGGGAGGGAGGGATGGAGGGAGGAAGGGAGAAAGGGAGTGAGTGAGGTAGGGAGTTTTGTCAGGTACAGCTCAGGTTAATCTGCGTCAGGTGTGTATTAGGGTCAGGTAGAAAGGTCATCTGTTCTGTGACTCGTTCCCCTGATCTGTGTTGCTTGCTGGAGGACAGACACAGAGACAGACAGACAGACAGACAGACAGACAGACAGACAGACAGAGAGACACAAAGACAGAGAGAGACACAAAGACAAAGAGAGACAGAGATAGGGGACACAGAGAGGCAGACAGACATAGACAGAGAGAAATGGTCAAGGCAGAGATAAGGACAATGGTAGACAGAGACAGACAGACAGACAGACAGACAGACAGAGAATAGAAATGCTAGAGAAAAAGATGAGAGAGAGGGAGAGAGAGAGAGAGAGAGAGAGATGATATATTAAACTATCAAGACAAAACCGAAGAAAAACAATAATAAAATAGTTCACCCGGAAAGAAAACGGGAATAGATGACATAAAAAAAGAAAACGGGTCACATGTGGGACCAACTTCGATAATTGTCGTGTAGAAAGGTCTCTCTCTCTCTCTCTCTCTCTCTCTCTCTCTCTCTCTCTCTCTCTTTTCTCTTCAATGCCAGCAATAAACCCGGCCGTCTCAGAGGGTCTAAGAATAGGTCTCTTCATGTTTATATAAGGACTCTCTCTCTCTCTCTCTCTGACACCTTTAATATCTGGCACTGGTTATCACACCTTTAAATACTCGTTATAATGCTGACACCTTTAAATACTCGTTATAATGCTGACACCTTTAAATACTCGTTATAATGCTGACACCTTTAAATACTCGTTATAATGACAAATGCGAGACAGACAGACAGACAGAGAGAGAGACACATCATCACGTCTCCCACCAGTATTAACCTGAGCCATCTTGTCTCTTCCCCCCACAGTGAGGCGGTAGGAGCAGAGGAGCCATTAACTACATTCAGAGAAGAAATAACGATAGAACACAGTGAAGAGCCAGATGTTATAACTACCACTGTATGACCCATCTTATCTCCCTCCTCATTCTCCTCACTCTCATTCTCCTCACTCTCATCTCTCCTCTCTTATTCCCCTCCCTCGTTCTCTTCTCTTGCCCATCTTCTCTCTATTTGCCATTCTCTTCTCCTCACTCTTCTCCCTCTCTTCCTTCGTCATTTCAACTTCATTATCATCTTTTTTCCTCCTCCCTACATCTCATCAGTCTCTTCACGTGCTCTGATTGGCATTACCGCCACCTACATCATCGAATAATCTGATTGGTTCGTGTGAAAACTAAAGGTAAACACACATCCATGACGCACTCGACCAATAAGAAGATACGAATGAGAATATACTTTATTCTAATTGGCTGAGAGGGAAACATATCTCTCATTATCAACAGATTTCTAAGACAATCCGGGTTCCGTATAAGACCTGAGAGACATATACCACTGATAGCTAATTAATAGTATAATGAGGTGATAACTAATTAACTAAGAATGAGTTTACTAGACGTAGATATTAAGGTAAATAGATAATTAAGAAATTATACGTGGATTATGAGAAATATGTCCTAGTGTTTGGTAAGGCATGAGAGTACGTGTGTCTTAATGTTCCTCAAGATGATAATAATTGTATCTAAATCTTTTTCTTTAGTTTTTAGGATGTGCTTTAGCCTTGTGTGTGTGTGTGTGTGTGTGTGTGTGTGTGTGTGTGTGTGTGTGTGTGTGTGTCTTGTTGCTTGTCTGTCTGTCTGTCTGTCTGTCTTTTAGTACTAGCAGGACATTTGACAGGATGATATAAACGCTTATCACTATATTAGCTGCTATTTGCTATTTCAATCTATTCCCACTAGCAAACAATCCATTTAGGAAATTATTCTTAAACTGTAGATTTACGCCATAACTCATTATGCTAAATATAATCACATAATTAATACATTTTGAATAATTATCTGCCGTCATGGGTGTTTTAAATGTCTTGTATAGTGTGAGAGTAATTAGCCACCTATGATTCGTGTGCAGGTGATTAGAGACGCACACACCTGTTACACCTGTCACGCCTGTCACACCTATCACACCTGTCACACCTTGTTATTATTTCCACTGATTCTTTTTTATCTCGTTATTGTTATCGTGTTATCATTGACCTCTGGCCGCCCTACGTGGCCCTCTGGGGGTGTTGGCCGTGTGTTGAGGATCAGAGGTCAATTCAGGTCAATTCAGGTCAATTCATGAATGTAATTTACATACATACATATATACATACATACATACATACATACATAACCTAGGGTGGATTGTATATATTGGTATGGCGTTTATGCTGTGAGATTTGGTCTATAGTGTAAAATATGTAAAGGAAATAACTGATGAATGAACAGATTTATTGAAAAGAATACCAAAACTTTTATACATAATCGAAAAAAAAAAGTATGGTTATTTTTTCCATTGGTTCTGTGTACACTGTATATAGTCATTGGTGGATGGTTGGTATAGATATATAAATTTATATATATATACTATAAAACTCTGTTATATTTGTTAGTAAACCTATATATATATGGAAGCTTAGGGTGTTTGTTGACATTCTATTGTTTACATGTAGGTCTGTTTACCTCACTGATGAAGGGATTATAAACTAGACGTGTTTACAATGACTGGACGCAAAAGCTGATAATAGAGTAATATGGACAAGTCACGGTATTGTTAATAAATACTTAACTACTGTTTTAATTAGGCTACCATTAGGGTTAAAACTGCATAGGTGACGATGTTGTTTTAATTAGACTATCATTAAGGGTTAAAACTGTATGATGTTGATGGCAGAGGCTTATGAGTATTGATTATATATGAAGTTTATTTCTATACGTGATTAGGTTTAACGTCAGATGGTTTAATTAGATTAAACCTTGGATATATGGGTTTATATATTGACCACTATATTACGACAGCTTTTGAGGTGTATATAATTACTATAATTTATCCCTTAAATTATTCCATATGAGTGAAAAATTTTACTGTATAATCCTTAATTATTTCAGTGTGAAGGATTATGTAGAGTAACCAGAAAATAAATTACCTGTGTTACGTAATTAGAAAAATGAAGTAATTATTGATAAAGGTTAATTAATTTGTGATTAATATTGAGCAGGTGCCGAATGTAATTATCTATATATGTAGGTGATTAAGAGTTACTTTATCAGTACTCTTATTAATGAAACAGGTAGTTAATGAGATTTTACCTGTCTGGAGTCTAATTATCATACTTAAAATACTGAACCAACTCATTTCTACACCAGGTTTAATCCCCTCGTTACCTCAGTACCTTTCCAACGTAATTAACCTGTCCACCTTAAGGAGACTTACCTGTACCCTTCACACCTGTTGAGAATTTCTTTTATGGTAATCAACTCGATAATTGGTCCATTTTGTATGTAATTGATAAGGTGAGATAGTGAAGCTAAGGAAGGTAGATAGTGAAGGTAAGGAAGATAGTGAAGATAGATAGTGAAGATAGTGAAGCTAAGGAAGGTAGATAGTGAAGATAAGGAAGGTAGATAGTGAAGATAGTGAAGATAGATAGTGAAGATAGTGAAGCTAAGGAAGGTAGATAGTGAAGATAAGGAAGATAGTGAAGATAGATAGTGAAGATAGTGAAGATAAGGAAGGAAGGTAGTGAAGATAGTGAAGATGTTTATAGTAGCGTCCCCTGGTGTTAGAGCGAGATGAGGGAGGAGAGAGGGAAGAGAGAGGGAAGAAGGAGGGAGGAAGGAGGGTCTGCTTTGATGATACGATACAAAACTGAAATGTAAACAATGACTTATTTTTTTTGTTTGTATGAAGTAAACAAAATAATCAGAAAGAAAATAAAAATCTTGAACTCCTGAGATTTTGAAAAGACTTAGTGTAAACAAACTGAGATAAGAAAACAATGATGATTATAGAGTAAACAAGAGATTTCATTCACTATAATTGCAAACAGGAAAATGAAAGGACATACGAACATACTTTACACTTGAGACAAAAATATATATAAAAAATATATTACAAATTGACGATAAAGTAAAAATTACCAAATTATTTAAATTTTGTAAACCTCGATACAATTTAACTAAGATGATTCCATAGCATTTAGTACTAACGACCCGTATGATCTAATTAACAATGAAAACAAGACCATAACACGATATTAACTGGTTTATTAAGGTAGCAGTGACCTAACTTTAACCTGAGGAAAAAATGACAACTAGAAGTACATAATGGATAGTTAATCAATATTCCTGAAAATAATATGAAAATGAAAAAATAAAGAAATATTACCGTATTGAGAAGTATTGGGAAGTATTGAGAAATATTGAGAGATATTGATAGATATTGAGAAGTATTGATAGATATTGAGAAGTATTGAGAAGTATTAAGGAGTATTGAGAAGTATTTATGGTCAATTTACATTTTAAACCAAATATTTTCATGTTTTTTGTAGTTTAATATTTGAGTTATGTACTTATATTCCTGTGACATAAATATTTAATAAATATTCATATATGATACAAGTGTGAATATTAATTAGATATTTGTCCAGGTAAAGGTGTGTGTGTGTGTGTGAATGTTTCCACGAGATAAATTATCATAATAAGGAAAATATGTAACTAAATATCAAGTGAATGTTGACTTAAAATTCACTTGATAAACAAATAAAATAACATTCAATAAGAGTCAACATAACGAACATTCAACACATAAAACATTTCTTAACATACAGCATTAATGTAGAGTTGTAGTAGTTTATTTATCAAACGCTTTTGTCTGTGTTATGGAACGAAAAATCTATGTGTTATTATATACACAATAATGTCTTAAAGAAATATATTTTGATATTAATTGAGTTTTTATTTTTCCCTATAATGAAAAAATAAAGAAAATGGTGAAAATAGAATAAATTAATGTAGAATATCTTTCTTTTTTTTGGTGGGGGAGTTACTCATTATATGTCTATCATTATATATATCATTATATATATTGTTACCCCTATATACTATACTATAAACATTTCAATACCATTATACTACCACAATTCATAGCTACAACTATTTTATTCCCATCTTTCATGTTGTCACTAACCACTATTGTCACGTAGACATCACTACCACTATTTACCATCAACTACTACTACCACTACTACAGCCAACCACTACCATCACTACTACCACTACTACAGCCAACCACTACCATCACTACTACCACTACTACAGCCAACCACTACCAACATTACTACCACTACTACAGCCAACCACTACCAACACTACTACCACTACTACAGCCAACCACTACCATCACTACTACCACTACTACAGCCAACCACTACCATCACTACTACCACTACTACAGCCAACCACTACCATCACTACTACCACTACTACAGCCAACCACTACCATCACTACTACCACTACAATACAAATGGCCTCCAGTCTCCCCCAATAGCCACACCTTCGCCGCCATTTTTTATTATCTTAATATTAAATATCCTAATACATAAGTAGCTACCCTGGCTGTGTTGAGTTAGTTGAGCCGCAGATCTATGCGGCATTCAGTGACTGTTGCCTCATAGTCAATATCTGCAGCAGTTGTCGGCTTTGGGGCAGATGCTCTCGTTCCCGTGAGGCAGAGCAAAACCGACCGAAGGAGAGAGAAGGACAGTCGACATCTCATCCAGGCAGTAACATAACTTCTGGGCTGCTGCTTCTGTGCGGAGATCACCTCCGCGAGTCTGACGTAGAAGCATCTTGCACTTGGTCCCATCCCACCAGAGGTTGTGAACACTAGAGGAGTGAAGCTGCCTTGATCAACGTTCTGAATTCTCTCCCCATATGCCCTTATCTTGTCGTTCTCGTTCCTCCTGTGTGCAGCATCGAGAGCTAAGTTACGGTGACATGCGGCCATGGGATAAAAAATTGTGATGTCTAAGAAGGCTCGCTGTCCCCGCGTCCAGAATCCTCGAGCACTGACGTCCACACGGGCTTCGTTGGATGTGTTTGAAGTCCTACGTTGGAGGATCTCACCATCCAATGGAAGGAGGGTCGGTTCTACCATGACATCACGGCAGATTTCCTTCAACATATTTGCTGTAAGGTCCCTTACTTCGTCATGCCTCATGCATATGAAGGCCCCTTTCTTGCACACCAGGGCGTGATCGCCGTCATAGGAAGAGCCTCACACGCATTGGGAGGGCAACCCTTCTACTGGCCTACCGTACCTTAGCGCAATGGCATCTGTAAATTCTTGTTCATTGAGACTGAAACCATTTGCCCTTATCGGTAACGTAGTTAACCAGTTCGAGGCGCCCACCTCCTGCGCTATAGCTACTTTTTTTCTTCAAATTCTCTGGAACTTGCAGCATCAGTTGCTGCAACTTATCACTTTGGCTGTGCTGTCGTTCTGCCGGAATGGACCTTCGAATCTTGTTTACTTCACTACCAAGACTACTACCACTACTACAGCCAACCACTACCAACACTACCATTACCATCACTCCTGACACTTCGTTACTCGTCACACGCCACTCCCCGACCCACTACCCCCCACCATAACCCCCACTATTCCCCCCCACCAATACCCCCCACCAATACCCCCCCCACTACCCCTTAACAAAAAGAAAGTTTCCCTCATGTGCTTTTACCGAGAGAAAGTTGTAGAGGGTAGACCAGCTGATATGGATGAAAGCTTTTAGATAGTTTTCTGGTGATGGAACTCTCACTAGGAAGGAGCAAGAGGAAACGAGAGAGAGAGAGAGAGAACTGTGAAGATGGGGAGAGTAGGATTCTCTCTCTCCCTCACTACGATCTAAACCATTAACTAATCCCCCCCCCCCAAGGAGACGCTAATTAGCAGGTGTTGGAGTCAGGTGTTCTCTTGTCTTGTTGTCAGCACCTGGTGACACCTTCTCTAGCCTCTGTGGCAGAACCCCATTAAGCAGTAGGTAGTAGGCAGCTACCAAACAGGGAGGTACTACCGCCTGGGAAGATATTGGAAGCATACTATACAGTAGTCTAATGGTAGACCTTGCTGCCATATGGCATCACGGAAATTGTGACCTAGTCCCAGGTTGCTGATCTGACTTTCTGCCTCATTTACACACAATTATAGGGTCTCAATTGTTTCTCTTACTTGACAACACAACATACATAATGTTTATCGTTTCTCATACTTGATTTATTTTTTTCGTTTGTGTTTTTATTTATTATTATTATTATTGTTATTATTATTATTATTATTATTATTATTATTATTATTATTCGCCATTTTTCCCAGGCCCTGATGTGGGACAGTGACCTGTGCTCGGGTGGGATAATTCCGTAAAAAAAAAAAAAAAAAAGGGACATGGGGGGGTGAGGGGGAGACGGGGTGAGGAGGAGAGGGAGGGGTGAGAAAGGAGGAGGAAAGGTGAGGAAGTAAGAGTGAAAGAGTGGACAGGAGGAAGGAAGAAAGGAAGGAAGGAAGGAATTCACCCCAGATACGTGGGAGTTTTACAAGACCTTAGTCGTGAATGCCTCAGCAAACACGACACTACAAGCGCCGCCCGCCAGGTGAGAAATTGTTGACATAAATCAGTGAAACTCACCTGTCAGGCCCATGTTGATTATTGTGAACACTGTGGAGGGTTGAGAAGGTGTGAGAGAGAGACAGACAGAGACAGAGAGAGGCAGACAGACAGACACACCCATACACACACACACACACACACAGAGCCAAAGAGACAGGGAGAGAGAGAGAGAGAGAGAGAGAGAGAGAGACAGACAGAGAGAGAGAGAGCCGTCATGGTCGTGCCCAAGCTTCTATAATACTCGTGGTGAACAATAGAGGACACTCAGGTCAGTACAGGTAAACAACAGTGTAAGAATTCTTGTATTCTGTGTGTGTTATATGACCTCTGACCTCTGACCTCTGAAGTCCAAACGATATTCAGACAAAGGAAATTGTAAATAAGTTGCTGTTAACCTAACCTAACCAAACCTAACCTAACCTAACCTAACCTAACCAAACCTAACCAAACCTAACCAAAACCTAACCAAACCCTAACCTAATCTAACCAAACTTAATCCCTATCTTATTTCACCTGAAGAATAACCACCATTACCTAACCTCCACATCTCCAGGTAACATTAGAGTTACATAATTAATGAATCATCAGGTAACAGCTCAGGTGACTAAGAGAGCCAATGGGATAAAGAAAATAAACAAAAAGATATTACCTGTTTATTGTTAGTTTGGTTAGGCTTGGTTAGGTTAGGTTTGCTTAGGTTAGGTTAGGTTAGGTTAGGTTAGGTTAGGTTAGGTTAGGTTAGGTTAGGTTAGGTTAGGTTAGGTTAGGTTAGGTTAGGTTAGGTTTGGTTAGGTTAGGTTTGGTTGCAAGACACTCTAGCCAAGGTCGATGAAGTGGGAGGAAGAGAGACAAGAAAATCCTAAAACGAGTGGAAGCTTTGATGAGAGGAGGAGAGGAGGAGAAGAGGGGGAGGAAGGGAAGGAGGGGGAGTAGAATGAGGAGGATGAGGAGGAAGGGGAAGAGAATCAGAAGGAGGGGGAGGAAGAGA